ATCCCCGGAACATCTTTATCTTGATAACCAAGAATCAATCCTAAATTTCATGATCCAGATAGATGAAAAATTTTCTTAGCATCTTTGTAGCCACCTCTTCATTTGTTCTTATCTTAATTTATCTTGCAAAGCCTCAACTGTCGGAGAGACCAATGTCCTACCTGTACTATGAAGTTTGTGTGTTTATTGATGGGGCTTTCCTGAACACATCTTTTTTCATTCCTGTCATGTCAGGCAGTATGTTGAGAATCCAGTAGTTTGGTCTCTAACTTTATCTTTCCTAATGATGACTTCACCACCACCTCTCTGATAGTTTGTCGCACTGTGGTGTCTTGCATGTTGCTATGATGTTGGAAGCTATTCCACTGATATTTAAAATACCTGTAGGGTACACCATTGATGTACAGGTTTCAGCTGAGTTTCCAGACTAAGACAGACTAGGATGAAGCAAAGGTGGACTACTTTTGATAGTTTAGCCACTGAAAGCCTTATCAGTAGTTGTGCAACACTGTCAGCACCAGAATATTGAAACATGATAAATAGCACCAGAATATTGTCAGATATAATGCCAGTAGATGAGCCTCTCAGGTGGAAGGCATTCAAAATACTGGTAGGAAGGAGCTGCCTGTGATAACATGAATGGAGTAAAGCTTTTAGGACCTTCATTTGCTGATGAGGCACAATGCAAAATGAGAAATGGCTGTACACATATATTAAGAAGTAGAACATGGAATGTATGAAGTATGAATTTAGGAAAATTGGAAGTTGTCAAAAATGAAATGGAATGCATAAACATCGATATCCCAGGCATTAGTGAGCTAGAATGAATTGGCCATTTTGAATCTAGCAATCACATGGTGTACTATGATGGGAATGACAAATTGAAAAGGAATAGCATCACATTCATTGTCTAAAAGAACATTTCAAGATCTATCTTGAAGTATAATGCTATCTGTGATAATAACTATATGCCTATAAGCAAGACCAGTTAATACAACTATTACTCAAATTTATGCACCAACACTAAAGCCAGTGATGATGGAATTGAAAAATCCTACCACTTCTTTAGTGTGAAATTGATCAAAAATGCAATGAAGATGTATTGGGAATTACTGGTAATTGTACTCAAAAGTTGGAAACAAAGAGGAAGGATCAGTAGTTGGAAAATATGCCATTGGTGATAGAAACAGTGAAGGAGATTGCATGATAGAATTTAGCAAGACCAATGAATAATTCATTTCAAATACCTTTTGTAAACAACATAAAAGCTCCGTATCATCAACTGAAACAATGCCAGGGGTGGGCATTAAAACCGTCACTTGAGCATATGGTAGTGCAAACTGAAGCTGAAAAAAATTAAAACGAGTCCATGAAAGCCAAAATATGACCTTAAACATACCCCACCTGAATTTAGAAATCATCTCAAGAACAGATTTGATGCACCGGACACCTAATAACCGAAGACCAGAAGAGTTGGATTGGCACAGGAGCAACAGCAGTGGACTCAAACATAACAAGGATGTGAAGGTGGTGCAGGATTGGGCATTGTTTTGTTCTGTTGTGCACAGGGTCACTGTGAATATGAACTGACTCAGTGGTAACTGACAACAACAACAAAAATGATGAGCTAAAGGAGCTGAGTCTGAACCTACTTGGTGGCACAAAGCCAGTACCACCAGTTATGACTTCAGTGTATTTTTTTCCTGTCTGTTTTTCATTCTTTCATGGAAATTGTTGCTGATAGACTTGGAATGAATACCCCACCATGTCCAATTTTAGCTACCAGCGTGAAGTCACTGAACACAGAGTTTGGGAGATATGCATACAGTCGGCTCTCACTACTACTCATTGGCCTTGGGTTCTCATTCACCTTTGTAACATTGTCACAATTGAAGTTGTTCTTGGTGATTGTACTGAAAAGTTGGAAAAGGTGCTTCTGTCCTGCCAAAGAATTTACCCCTTGCCAAAGAGGTTAGAAAGACAAGAGGCTTAAGCTCATAAGAGAATTGATTAAGCATCGACTTTCTTCCAGAGAGATAGATAAAGATAGCCTGCTCCCTTCCGAAAGAAGAGAAGCCCCCAACAATTTGGCCTTTATATATATATATATATCCTTTTATCAAGGGCTCTGGTAGCATAGTGGTTATGAATCGGGCTGCGAACCTTAAGGTCAGTGGTTCGAAACTACCAGCTGCTCCGCAGGAGAAAGATGAGGCTTTCTACTCCCGTAAAGATTTACACCCTTGGAAACCCTGTACAGGGTCGCTATGGGTCGGACCCGACTCAATGGCACTTAACAACAACAACACAACAATATCCTTTTATCAGGGATGTGAACTATACTCCTGGGTAAAGTGTCTAAACAGTTAAACTGGAGAACTTGTCTAAATATGCTTACTCTAAATGGTGTGGCACTGTGGGTTAATGCACCAGATTGCAAAGCTGTTTGAACTGCAAGGTCGGCATTTCAAGCTCATCAGCTGCTCCATGGAAACCCTATACAGGGTCACTATGGGTCAGAACTGACTCGGCAATACTTAATAACAACAAATCTTGTTCTCCAGTCTCATTACTAACTTTCTTCCCCTTTACAATAGGATTTTTTTTTTTTTAAAGCCATCCCCCATGTTGTTGTTGTTAGTGCCATGGAGTCATTCTCGACCTATAGCAACCCTGTACAGGATTTCCAAGGAACAGTTGGTGGGCTTGAACTGCTGACCTTGTGGTTTACAGTCCAGTACCGATCCAACAGGGCCATTGCTGTTGTTGTCAAGTGCCAGGTAGTCAGTTCCAACTCATAGCAACCCTGTATAGGGTTTCTGATGAGCAGCTGGTGAGCTTGAACTGCTGACCTTGCTGTTCAAACCGACTTTGCAGTCCATCGCATTAACTCGCAATGTTACACCAGGACTCCACAGCACCGTTAAGGTTTCCTTATTTCTGAGACTGCTCTGATTTTCTGCTGAGATCAGGGGAATTTGTCTGAATATGGTTTCCTTGAGTCTTGTTTTTGAGGTTGTAGATTATTATTGACTGACTTTATTTCCCCCTTATAAGTTTCACCTCTCATCCACTCTTCTTCTCAGATTTCCTTATTTTGTATGTTGGCTTGTTTCTGCTGAGACAGGCTTCATAGAGAGGGACTTGAGACTATTCCTTTGTGGCGCAGCAGGATAATGACTGGACTGCAAGGTTGTTTTAACCACAAGGTCAGTGGTTCAGATTCACCAGATGCACATCGTAAACCCTTTACACACAGGGTCACTATGAGTCGGAGTCGATTTGAAGGCACTTAGCAACAACAATGGCATTATTATTATCTATTATGCTAATCTGCAGAAGATTTGAGGCTGTGTAAAAAAATAAGCGTTAAAAAAATTAATGAAACAGGGTTAAATGACTAGCTAATCCATTTTTCTTTAAAAGGAAAATAGAGGAAATTAAAAGTAAGTCAGTAGTATATGAAATAAATGGAGCCCTGGTAGCATAGTGGTTGTGCATTGGGCTGCTAACTGTAAGGTCAGGGGTTTGAGTCCATCAGTCGCTTCCGGGGCAGAAAGATGAGGCTTTCTGCTCCTGTAAAGATTTACAGCCTCAGAAATCCTAAACTTGGTGGCTATATGAGTCAGAACTGATTTAATGGTATACCACCACCACCTTATGAAATAAATGCAGCATAAGGTGCTAGACAGGTGTTGTAGATGAACTAAGGATTTGGCTGAAGCAATAATAATGTTTAGAGTATACCTTGTTTTTGTTGTTGTTAAGTGCTGGTGAATCTCTGATTCACAGCGACCCTGTATAGGGTTTCTGAGGAGGACTGGTGATTTTGAACTGTGGACCTTAAGGTTCAAATTGACCTTGAGATGGAGTGCTTATCCCACAGTTGCCAGACCAGGACTCCTTAGATAAAAACAAATCAGCAGCTCAGGAGTAACAGTTTCTTGATGTCAAGTAGACCACTGAATAATGAGAGAGCAGTCAAGAGCAGTGTTGTAAAATTAGCATGGCGTATTGTTAAGTGCTATCTAGTAGGTCCCCACTCACAGCAGTGCTGTGTATAGGGTTTCAGAGTAGAGTCTGGTGGGTTTGAACTGTTGATCTGTAATTAGCAGTTCAGTGATTATTCTGTACAGTGCCACAATACTTAAATGATGTTTCCTGAAACATTTCCATTCAAGGTACTGTCAGTGCCTTGACAATTCAGAAAAGTTGCTATGTTCTGGGAGGAAAAAAGTTAAATTAGCAGAGAGACTTGGAATTTGCATCTTATTGGAAAGTTAATCTAGGAGCTGCTACTTGTATGTTTAGGCTGTTTGGAAAGCTGGTCCATTTGCATTGTTAAGAGTTTCCAAGTGAGGAAGCTAACAAGATGTTTACAAGATTCTAAATTTGGAATAATTAGAGATTTAACCAAGATAGTGACTGAATTTGTTAATAAAGAAAATCCATGTGTGAAATTTAATAATAGGCCACTTGTTGAGACCAAGTAAAAAGAGTATTTGCAGATAGCCATTGTAAGCACAAGAAACTGTAAGACCCTGAAAACCTTCCCAGTGTTCTTTTTGACTTCTTTATGGTGATGTCTTTCACTCATTGGGATTTTGTGTCATCTTTTACTAGTTCTTTGAGTATCAACGTTACGGAGATTAAATGAGGTGTTTACAAAGATGACTAAGACATGATTCATATTTTCATCTTTCAGTGTGCTTATGTGACTAAGATCTTTGCTCATTCCTATCTGTCTATGCTGTATCCTTGGCTGGCCTCAACCTTCGAACTGAATTAGTGTCTGGACTTGAACAGAGATTTTCTCTTGTTATATATATTTCTTTGGTGATGGTTGCTCAACTTGAAGGCAAGGTAGGATAGAGTTCAGGGGCACCAGAAAATGCTCAGAAGTCTTTGTTATTGCCATCATTTCTACTTCTGGGTCTTCTCTTGTTCCTCCTGGGCACAGAAATCCTGGTGTTAACTCCTCCCTGCCCACCTTTCCCTAGAATCCGTGCGTGTTGATGCCTCCTACAAACAGCAAAATGAAGGAAAGCCAGAAAGAGGTGAGTTTTGAGCTAGATTCTGGTTGGGGATTCTGAAGGTGTGGGAAAGTTGGATTGATAGAACTGTTCGTCAGTCTGCTGATAGGGTCAGAAGTGAATAGCAGTAGATCTAGATAGTACTATTTGAGGGGAGATGTGGGTTTATTGATTAGGATAGCCATTTTTGGTCAGTAGGTTAAGATCTGTAAACAGGCAGATAGGCCCTGGCAACAGTAGGTTCAGGGGATTTCTCTTCTGTTGTCAATCTGTATTATCCTTTTTCATTGTCCTTTGCTTCTTACCTATCTCTGTTCCCCATGGATGTATGAAAATGTGATTAAATGCTAATCCCCCTGCCCTGCCCTTCAATGTTCCTTTGCTTCTGCACACTGAGAGTGGTTAAAATCTGCTTAAATTAGCTCTGTAGTAGCTAAAATCATAAAAGGCCCTAAAACTATCCTTGGGAATTAATTTGACATACCTGAAATACTGATGTCATGTTTGTAAAAGTCACTACTGCTAAGTAAGGTTAACAGTTGTTTGTGAAAGGGTATTTTTCTTTTTTTTTAATATGTTTAGTTGATAAGTCTAGCTGTTAATTCCCAGAATTGAGCCTATAATTATGTCTTTAATTAGAATAGCATACTGTGCTGATTGGTCCAGTTCCTCATCTTCTTTCAAGGGATTGCTTATCTGAATAGGATAGGGCAGTCATTGTATCTTAAAGCTAGAAATATACGTGGGTTTCCCCCCCCACCCCCACCTAATTTTTGAGTTTTAAAATAAGGGACTTGAGTTAGGTAGGTCCTGTGTATTGAGAAATGAATAAACTCTGATGCTTGCTTTTCTGTAGGAACTGTTAATGTAGTTGGAAAATCAACACTCACCATATGAAGTGGAATTTGACAAGTGCAATGTTAATATATTAGGGAATAATGAAATAAACCATATTCTTAGTTGTTTGGTGATAGAGTAATGGCTTGTATCATATTTGAGTTTTAAGTCTTTTAAGAACTTTTAGATTTGCTTTAAATCAGCCACCCTGTATAGGGTTTCCAAGGATCGGCTGGTGAGTTTGAACCACCAACTTTAGTGGTTCAAACTGACTTTGTGGTCCTGTGCTTATCCTACAGCGCCATACTAGGACTATGTTATGTTTTTTTATAGATTGTTGCAACTTCAGAGTTGGAATACTTAGCTTAGAGCTGCCTTAGTGTTGTTAACATTTGAGACCAGATAATTCTTTGTTGTAGAGGCTGTCATGTACATTATTGATGTATATCAGTATCCTTTGCCTCCATTTATTATAGGCCAACAGCACTCTATCATTTCTGATCATCAGGAATGTTTTCAGGCATTGCCATTTGTCCCAGAGGACTTGGGAGAAGGAGAGGATGCTGCAGAATTGTCCCTCGTTGAGAACCATTGATTTAGAGACAGTCTTTTAGGGTTTTCAAGAGAGTATGAAGAGATGTTATTCACCATTGCCCTAGGTGGTTGCCTATTTGCAAGTATCTTGACTGTAGCAGGAAGCTCTTTTTTGTTGTTGGCAAGTACCAAGGTGGTTCTTGACTGACTAGGTATGGCTGTACATAAGCACTGGACTGCTGACTATAAGGTCAACAGTTCAAACCCACCTTCCGCATCTCAGAAACCCTACACAGGGTCACTGTGAGTAAAAACCGATTTGATGATGCTTAATAGCAAGACTAGCCTGTTTCAAGATCTTTGGCTCAGCTTTTGCTCTTAAGTGCTTTCCTGGCCTTAACCCATTGTGTAGTTGACTGGCTTCTGTGTGATTCTTAACTAGGTGCCACTTTCTCCTGTTCTCTGTTATTAATCTTTGTCAGTTCTTTCAACGCATATTGACACATCTTGAAAATTTAATGAAATGTTTTTCTATCAGTAACAACTCACTGTTACTAATCTTTGAAGATTATCTTTAATTAAATTCATTTTTTGTTGAACCTGCTTAAGTTATATTGTTTCAGTATAGTTTTAAATTTAAGTGTATTTCTATAAATAATGGTAATATATAGAACCAAAACTATGTGGTTGTCCTGACTAAAAATAAAGGTCAGTGACTTTGTCTTATGCAAATTTCTTCTTAATTCATTTAATCAGTATTTGAGTACTCATTCAATAATAGTCACTGTTTAGTGCTTTGAATAATAAATTACCAGTTTTGTTTTAATTTTTTAAGCTGTTCAGACATTTCAGGATACCTCCTAAAGTTACTATGTGCTTTTCACCTTGAAATGACCCCTTGTTATCTAGTTCTCTTTGCTGGTGGATATAGTCGTAATAATTACTCTTGGATTTTAATTGTGCTTATTAAATTTTGACTTTTAGGAACATGAACATAAATGATTAAAGAACATTAGTTTTGTCTTTCTTGAGTTCTTTTCTCTGGCTTCATATGTGCTAAACTGGCATCGGTATTCCATAGACTGCCGTATACAATACCCTATGGACTTCAGGTGTAGCACTGTAGGATAAGTGCAGGACTGCGAGGTCAGTTTGAACTCACCAGCTGCTTTTTGGAAACCCTATTTAAGGTTGCTGTGAGTTGGAACCGACTCGGTGGCATTTAACAACAACAACAACGGTCTGGGTTATTTATAATTTTTGATAGCACCCATCCTGAGTGAACTAGGTAGCTTTAGGTATTAACAGATTTACTTTAATGATACAATGAGAATTTCAGTACTAAAATAAATTTATAAGTCCATTGTTAATTTGGTTACAAAACCACTCTATTTGAAACAAATGAGCTAGAAAATTGTACTTTATATTTCTTATATAGGTAAAGAGAGACCTGCCCAGCCTTTGAAAACTTCAAGAGATACATCCCCTTCCAGTTCTTCAGCAGTTGCTTCATCAAAGGTTTGTTGTGCTTCTAAAATGAGTATAAGAGCAATTACAAAGTAAATGAGATGGATAGTCTAGACAGATGCTTTTATTCTTTTTTTTTGATATATAGACCAAAGTTTATTAGTGGTTATCAAGGGTAGAAAAGAATGGGGAGGGAGAATTCCTGCTTATAGAGCCCATCTTTTTTTGTTTACTTTTGGGTCTTTTTAAAAGTTTTTATTGTGAATTGAGTGAAGATTTACAGACAGGATCCTTAGCTAAATTCAACAAATCCTGCACTTCGTTTCATCTCAATGATTACAGTCCCTTCCAAGCAACACCTCTTTCTCTCCTGTGGTTCTTGTTTGCATCACACCTACCTTCCTATACCTTCTCAGCTTTGTCCTTAGGAAACTGTTGCCCTTTTGATTTGGAATGATTGGCCATTCCATGGTGATCATGCCTTACTAGTTTTGTGATCCTCTTCCATAAACCTCTTTACTGCTTGGCTGAAAATTGGGCCACAAGGGTGAGTTTCTTTCCAGACATGAAGGGTGGTCAAGATCTTAAATGCTACTCACTCAAGCAATATGTAGAACATTGTCTTTGTGGATCATGTTATACCAATTAAACATGGTGTCCCCTGAGACTATGGTCCTGAGCCCCCAGGCCCATCAACTCATTGCCTTAAAATATTTGATAATATTTAGTAGGAAGTTTTCATCATTTTACCTGTTGTATGCTCCACCACATTCATAGTTATGTTTGCAGGGAAGATACTCATGTACAAATACCCTCTTTCATATTCATATTTGTGGGATATATAGATCTTACTGCCTTACCCATTCAGCCTATGTCTTCATCCATGTATCTTTGCACAGAACACTGTTTTCCCAAGGTTGTGTATATATGATTATTTACCTCTCTCCACTTTAGTCCATGCATCCCTCCCTGTGTCTTCACTATTCTTCCGCCACCCTTCCTCTTCTTGTATGTTGCCTTCCCTCTTCTTGTATATGGCCCTCCCAGTCACTTGAGCAAACATGTGTCTAACCTTAGCCAGTGAATTACTGTTTTCCCTCTTCCACTTCTGGTAACCATCAAAAAAATTGTTTTTTTTTAGTATGGAAACCTTCCCTTAAGCTTTTATAATAACAATATCATACAATATTTGTCCTTTTGTAATTGACTAATTTCATTTAGCATAATGTTCTCTAGGTTCATCCATGTTATGTGGTATTTTGCAGATTCATCATTTTCAGTGTTGCCTAATGTTGCATTTTGTGTATGTACCAAAGTTTATCCATGTTTCCATTTTTGGGCACTTAGGTTGTCTCCCATCTTTTTGCTGTTGTGAAAAGTGGTGCAGTGAACATCAATGTACGTAACCTACTTGTGTTCTGGCTCATATTTCTTGTGGATATGTACCAAGTAGAGGCATTGCTGGGTCATAAAGTATTTCCATCTCCAACTTTCTGAGGAAGCGCTGGACCGTCTTCCAGAATCATTGAACCATTTTGCATTCCCAGCAGCAATGTAAGAGGGTCCCAATCTCTCCACACCTTCACCAACATTTGTTGTTTTCAGTTTCTTTTTTTACGGATGCTTTTATTCTATGCTTTCATATTTAGTGGGGATACTTTGCTTTATTTTAAAGTAGGAATTTTAAGTTATCACAACTTGAAAGTAGCTACCAAAGTAAAGGAGTCCTGTTGTGGTGCTGTAGGTTAATGTGCTGGACAGCAAGGTTGGTTTGAACCACAAATTCAGCAGTTCAAGCTCACCATCCACTCCTCGGTAACCCTATACAGGGTAACTATGACTCTGAACCAATTTGACAGCACTTAACACCAACAGCAACTACAACCAAAGTAAAGAAGCTCTTTTCAGACTAAATATTTTCCATAGGCTGTTGTTAAAATTGGTGTCTACTGCTGCCTTTGTGTCTCTGTAACATAATCAGGTGGGACTGACTGTTCAGATGGGGTGATACAGGGTCTCTATTAGTTGAAACTAACTTGCTGGAATTTAGCAACAGTTTGGGAGATGGGAGATACACAGAAACTTAACATTTTGTATAACTGCAAAGTGCTAGATGCTATATTAAGTGCAGAAATTAGATGATATAAGCAACTGCAGCTCTCCATTAAGAAGACTTGGTGATGCTGTGTGTTAGGTGTTGGGCTACCAAACTCAGAGTCAGTGGTTTAAACCCACCACCTGCTACATATGAAAAAGATAAGTCTGCTTTCTTTCATATAAATTTCTTCTCAGAAACCCTGTATTATTTTGCTATGAGTCAGAATCTAGTTGGTGGCAGTGCGTTTAGTGTTTTTTTTTTTTTGTTGTTGTTGTTGCTAAGTACCGTTGAGTGGATTCCACCCCATAGTGACTCTGTTTAGGGTTTCCAAGGAGCAGCTGGTGAATTTGAACCACCTTGCCTTTGCAGTCTGACATGTTAGCCCACAGCGCCACACCAGGTTTATAGATCCCCATTATATAGAAGGGAGTTGTGATCTAGTTCTCCTTTCTGGTCTGTAGGATAGTAGACTGCTAACTGTAAGATCAGCAGTTCAAACCCACTAGCTGCTCCTCAGAAACCCTATATAGGGTATCTTTGACTCATAACTGACTTGACAACACTTAACAACAGCATTTTATTGTAAGAGTAAATAAAGGCTAAAAAGTTAAATCATTTTCTCAAGGACATAGCTACTCTTTCATCATGTCATCTTTCTCAGTCTTACCTTCTCAACATCCCAAGCCATTTTGAAAAGATGACCCATAATTGTAATCCTCAAAAATAAAATAATTGAGGTGTTTCAATTTCCATTTGTTCTCTGAATTATATTTTCTCTTCACTGATAACAAACCTTTTCTAAATGTTGTCATAACTGTGGTTACGTTTTTTTTTTTTTATGTTCTTTTGTTTTCTTTGTTTCTGGCTTTTTGGCAAGGGTAAACATTACTTGGCTGTCTTTGCAGGAGGAGTGTTGGGGGAGAAATTGCTTCTTTATCTTAAAGGGTAAAGAAGAGAAAGTTTTCATAATGACTGTGTATTTTTGGTGCTTTTCCAGAAGTCTGAAGGTTCTAGAATGCTGGGTTTTGAATAGCAAATATTTACTAGATTTTTAGTGATATCTTATAATAAAATGAGTGCTTTGCACACTTGAAATACTGGCTTGCTTTTCTTTGTCAGGCAGTAAGTAAAAAATATAATAACCATCCTTTCAAGTTACTATGAAAATTTAAATTAACATATATGAAATAGCCATTTTCCTGGAAATAAATACAATTTTGAAATTTACGTTTTTTTTTAACATAAACTATAGTGTTAAGACTACCAGTCATCTGTCAGTTTGTTGTACTGTGGTGGCCTGTGAGTTGCTGTGATTCTGGAAGCTATGCTACGGGTATTTTAAATATTAGCAGGGTAACCCACAGTGGACGGGTTTCAGATGAACTTCCAGATGAAGACACACTAGAAAGAAAGAGTGACAAACTACTTGTGAATATCTATGCCAAGAAATTTGGAAGACAACTATCTGGCCAGCTGAATGGAAGAGATCCATATTCCAAAGAGAGGTGACTCAATGGAATGCAGAAATCACTGGGCAATATCTTTGATATCCCATGCGCGTAAAGTTTTACTAAAGGTAATACAGAAATGGCTGCAATCATACATTGACAGAGAACTTCCAGAGGTTCAAGCCAGATTCAGAAGAGAGTGTGGAATGAGAGATATCATTGCTGACATCAGATGGGTCTTGGCTGAAAGCAGAGAATATCAGAAAGATGTTTACCTGTGCTTGATTGACTACACAAAGACCTTCAATTGTGTGGATCATGACAAGCTATGGGACAACATTGCGAAGTATGAGTACTCCGTAACACATAATTATGCTCATGAGGAATCTGTACATGGACCAAGAGGCAGTTGTTTGAACAGAACGTGGGAACAATGAATGGTTTATAATTAGGAAAGGTGTGTAAAAGGGTTGTATTCTGTGACCATATTTATTCAACATGTATGCTGAGCAAATAATCCTAGAAGCTGGGTTATCTGAAGAAAAATGTGGCATCAGAATTGGAGGAAGACTTAATAACAACCTGCGATATGCAGATGACACAACTTTGCTTGCTGAAAGTGAAGAGGACTTAAAATCTTTACTGATGAAGATCAAAGACCATAGCCTTCGGTATGGATTGCATCTCAATGTAAAGAAAACAAAAATCCTCATCGCGGGACGAATAAACAGCATTCTTATCAATGGAGAAAAGATTGAAGTTTTCAAGACTTCATTTTTCTTAGGTCAACCATCAACAGTCATGGAAGCAGCAGTCAAGAAATCAAATGATGTGTTGCATTAGGCAAATGTGCTGCACAAGACCTTTTTAAAGTGTTGAAGACCAAAGATGTCAGTTTGAGGACTAAGGTGCGCCTGACCCAAGCCATAGTATTTTCAATAACCTCATATGCATGTGAATGTTGCACTGTGAGTAAGGAAGGCTGTAGAAGAATTGATGCATTTGAGTTATGGTGTTTGAGGAAAATATTGAAAGTACCATGGGCTGCCAAAAGAACAAACAGACCTATGTTGGAAGAAGTATAGCCAGAGTGCTTCTTGGAGGCCAGGAATGGACAGACTTTGTCTCTCATACTTCGGACATATTTTCAGGAGGGACCAGTCACTGGAGAAGGGTATCATGTTTGGTAAGGTGAGGGGAGGGGGGGGGAGGTCAGAGAAAAAGAGGAAGCCCCACAGTGAGATGGATTGACTAAGTGGCAACATCAGTGGGCTCAAGTGTGGCAACAATTGTGAGGTTAGCCCAGGACCGGGTAGTGTTTCATTCTGTTGTGCACTGTGAGTTGGTAATGACTCAGTGGCACAATAAAAACAATAACATAGTCTTAAGGTTTGTTGTTGTTGTTGTTAAGTGCTGTTGTTAAGTTGTTGTTGAGTCCTTTAAAACCCATAATGACCCTGTATAGGATTTCCGAGGAGCGGCTGGTGAGTTTGAACTATCCATCCACCTTGTGATTCAAACCAATCTTATGGTCAAGTGTTTATCCTACAGTGTCACACCAGGACTTTAAGATGGAATAAGAATATTATATCTATAATTATTTACCTATTGGGAAGTGGAGGCCCTGTGTGCTCATCTCAGGATTTACATTGTAGCTGTGGGGAGACTTTATTAACCTATTTGTCCACTAGTATTGGTGATGTTTCTCTCCTAAACACGATGTAGGAAGCGTTTTTCAGTTTATTTCCTGCTATTATGAGTTAACTTACAATGGTAGTTTTTACAGCCAGAATATTCCTTAGAAGCAAGGGGACGAGACTTCATCTAATATACTTTGGACATGTTTTGACAAGGGACCAGTCTCTGGAAAAGGACATCATGCTTGGTAAAGCAAACAGTCAGCAAAAAAGGAATATTATACTCTAGAAGATGGATTGACTGAATGGCTGTCACATTAGGTAACGAGTATAAGGATGTAGCAGGACAGGGCAGTCTTCTGCTGTAAATAAGGTTGTTATGAATCAGAACCAACTTGATATCACCTAACAATACCATATTTTGTGTGAGTTTTCAGTGTCTTTTTCTTTGTTCCATAGATAAATATTTAAAACTTTTTTGTAAAAAAAATTATGAGTTATATCTAGCCTAAGTGTCCTAAAGGAATTGTTACAGAGGAATTCTATGTTGAATATTTTTGGAAGTATATAAAGAATTTATCTGTTCTCCATATAAATTTGAAGGCGTGCATAATTTTAAATGGTAGTAGAGTGTACTTCTTGATGCATGTGAAATTTATAAGCCCTTGAGAATTATAACAGAAGTGTTCCTTTGTTTTTATTAGGGGTTAGATAAGCCTGGTAGGCTAACTGAAAAGGAACTTGCTGAGGCTGCAAGCAAGTGGGCTGCGGAAAAGCTAGAGAAGGCAGAGGAGAGTAACTTACCTGAAATTTCTGAATATGAGGTAAGGGATCATTTCTTCTTTATGTGCCATATCTGAAAATTTTATCTGGATTTTATATTAATTTTTGGAAACTATTTGTACTTTTAGTACTTTAAAATATTATATTTGGGGAAATAGTCACATTGATTATTTTAATATTTATTATATACAGTAAATCTAAATATGAACAACTCTGAATTCAGTAATTGTACTGTCTGAATGTTTTTAATGATTTAGGAGTATAGGGGTAATATAAATATGGAGTAAGTGCAAAGAAAGCATAATATTTATTTTTTATAATGAGTTTTGTTGTTAAAAATATATTAGAAAATACTCTGGTCTCGGTGGCACTTAATAACAGCAACAATCCATGGATATACTAGAGCATACAGGGAGCAAAGTTTGAAAACTTCTTAGCCATAACCAAATATTTTGTGAAGAATGAGTCTCGAGGGACACTAAGGACAATGGGCATAATATAGTTCACAAAGACAGTGTTCTACATTTTTCATTCTATATTTGTTGAGTAGCTACAAAGGTCTTAAAAGCATGTAAGCTTCTAAGCTATGACTATTGGTGTTTCTCTGTCCGGAGCAAAGACGAGTAAAGAAAATTGAATACACAAAGAAATAATCCAAAGGACTAATGGAGCACATGAACCTCAACCTCCATGACCCTGAGACCAGAATAATTAGATGTTGCCACCAGCTAACACTACCAACCATTCCAAAAGGAAGATCACATTAGAAGGCCCTGGATAGAGGGGGGAAAAATGTGGAACGAAACTGAAAATCATTTGAGAGACTGAGCTTACTGGTAGAACCCTGACAGTATAGCCTATGGGATAATAACACCTGAGAGGTACACACTCATTAGAGCTATCAACCAAACTATGAAATCAAAAGGGCAGCATTTGGTAAGAAGGACCACTGGAAATGGTAAACACAGGGAGGAAGTGAGAAGAGTGATATTATATCGTGGGGATTTCAGTCAATGTCACAAACAGTGTATATGAATTGTTAATGGAAAACCAGTTTGCTCTATAAACTTCCTTTCATCCAACTCACAATTAAAAAAAAAAAAGAAAGGTTCAAGCGCCCCCACCCCCCAAGATATCTAGGAAATCATGCTAAGCCTCTAGTTAAAAACTAGTGAACACAGAACAAATATCTGATTAATCATTGCTTCTTGGATTATACTTACACTGCATGTTACGCTTCATGAAAATTGCCCAAGAAATGAAATAATGCAGTCTGGGTTACCTTTGACTTTCATGAGTCTGTTGTTATGTGCCATCGACTTGGTTCCGACTCATAGTGCCTCTGTGTAGGGTTTCTGAGGATCAGCTGGTGAACTTGAACTACTGACGTTTTTTGGGTTAGCGGTCTAGTGCTTATCCTATAGCACCATGCCAAGAGTGCCAAAAAATAAGTGCATTTTTGGACTCAAAACTGTTTATAAAATTATTGTATTAAAATATTTGGGGGGAAATAAAGGAAAATTTTTGTATAGTCTTTATCTCTAATAGGGAAAGAAAAATAGGGAAAAATATAAAACTTTTAAAGCAACATTTGATGCTAAATGAGTTATTTTGATAGCGTACGCAGAGACTATATAAAAGTCTGTGACAAATTGTATGTGAAGAAGAATTTTCTTTTCATTATGTTTTTGGATGACTTTTATAGAAGGTCTTTGATATAAGGGATCAATGTAACAATTCTATATGAAAATAAATATTATGTAAAAATTATGCATGATGAAAAGAGTCTTCATTAAGTAATATTGGAGACTGCTCAAAGAAAGTACAAAGCCTTTCAGTGCTTACGCAAATACAGCCTGCCTTTTATAAAACGCTGATCTGTCATTTAGATATCAATTGTTCTTAAGTAGGTCAAGGTTTCCTTCTTATTGTAGTCATCATAATAGATATTTATGCATATTCTTGTATAAATGTATCAGAAATATCAAGCTGTCCTTCTTTGGCACTTTCCCAGCATTATTTTAAAATGTGCACAATACAGTAATGTATTTAATAGGGGTATTTTGGTTGTTTTTTAATACTTAACAATAATGGTTTTTCTATTAATAATATTTAACATTTTTGTCTCAAAGTTGCTATTTTGAAGAATGGATCATTTTTTTCTCCGAGGACTTAAAATCAAAATCTACTAATGACTAATTTTAATTTTATCTTTATTGGTTTATCTTTAATTAGTAAGGATTTATTAAGGTATGTAATGTCTCCTCCTCCACACACACATGCACACACACACACACACAGCCACACACACACACACCCTGTCATTTTGTTAAACCTTTTAAGTATTTACAACATCTCACTAGTGACCTTTCTCAGACTTTAAATATTCGATTTCTGTTTGTTTATTACTTGAACAGGGCTCTGTGCTGAATTATCAGTGTCATTGGTTCTAGAAAGATTCTTTTACCTCTGTGTTTTTTCTTTAATATTTGCCTCGAATTTACTTGAGTTTAAAGTAATGAAAGAAAATAATCCTAAAATAAGTGGATATATAAGTCAAATATAATTCTTTGTTGGCCTAAAGGCATGGTGATAGATGAGAGTACCAGAGAGATTACCTTACTTAGTATGATTCAGTACATGACATGCACCATTTCTGACTCATAGCAACCCTGAATAGGGTTTCCATGGACCAACTGGTGGGCTTGAACTACTGACCTTGCCGTTAGCAGTCCTGTGCTTATTTTACTGTTTAGCAGCATCAGTTTTGTATCATTGTTTAAAATGCTTTCAAGTTATTGTTACTTTTCATTTTAGAAATAATTCAGTTGGGAAATTATTTAAGATACTTTTACTTTTGTAAAAAAAAACAAAAAAACAACTTAGTCTTATCATATCATGATACGTTTTGTTCAGATAGTATAATTTGTTCTTGAGCGTTTGTTAAACAGTTGTTTCGCTGTTCTGTGCTTGTTTGGAAGTAGAATTTTGGCCCTGCTCATGTTAACTTATATCAGTTTTGACACAATAACCTGGAAATAAAAAGGACCTTGTTTGGTTGTAGAAGGGAGTTTGGTTTAATACTGTTCCTTTGCATGTATATTTAAATATTGTATAGAGTAATTTTTATGACTAAAGAGAGATTGAATACTTGGACTTCTAGTTTATCTTCTCTTGTTGCCATCAATATAATTGCAAACAGTTTAGTTGGGAGACCATGTAATTACAGACTGCAGTTTATTCCTCTGTTCAGTTTCTTTTATTTTTGGGGCTCCAGTAGAACATTTCCCAAAGTATTGAATAGTAATTCTGAGAAATCTTCATGGTAGTTGTTGTAATGTACCATTGAGTGGGTATGGACTCATAGTGACCCTGTGCACGATAGAACGAAACACTGCCTGGTCCCATGCCAGCCTCACAGTCGTTGTAACACCTGAGCCCTCTGTGCCAATCCATCTTGTTGGAGTCTTCCTCTTTTACTCTGACTCTCCTTCCTACCAAAACATGATACCTTCTGCAGGGACTGGTCCTTCCTGACAATGTGTCCAAAGTATGAGTGACAAATTCTGACCATCTACCTTCTAGGGAAAATTCTGGCTTTATTTCTTCCAACACAAACTGGTTCGTTCTTTTGACAATCCATGGTATTTTTAATACTCTCCAATAACATGGCTCAACTGCATCAATTCTTATATGGTCTTCCTTATTCTCTGTCTGACTTTTGCATACATATGAGGTTTTCGAAAATACTGTGGCTTAGGTCTGGCTCACCTTAGTCTTCAAATTGATATTGTTGTTCTTCAACACTTTAAAGAGATCTTGTGCAGCAGATTTGCCTAATGTAATACGTTGTTTGATTTCTTGACTGCTGCTTCCATGAGTATTGATAGTTGAGCCAAATAAAATGAAGTCTTTGACAACTTCAATCTTTTCTACATTTATTTTGATATTGTTTATTGATCTAGTAGTGAGGATTTTTGTTTTCTTTACAGTGAATTACATTATATCTTAATGGTTGTTGTTGTTGTGTGCTGTGGAGTAGGTTCTGACTCATAGCGAATCTGTACTGGGTTTCCAAGGCTGTAAATCTTTATGGGAGCAGAAAGCCTCATCTTTCTCCTGTGGAACAGCTGGTAGTTTCGAACTGCTTACCTTGCGGTTTGCAGCCTGATTCATAACCACTACACTGCCAGAGCTCCTTAATCTTAATGGTAGACCTGTTGAAAACCCTTGTTGTTATATCTGACTCATAGCAATCCCGTAGAGCAGAGTAGAGCTACCCCCATAGAGTTTCCATGTAATCTTTATGGAAGCAGTCTGCCACATCTTCTCCTGCAGAGTGGCTGGTGGGTTGGAACTGCTGACCTTTTGATTAGCAACTGTGTGTTTAACAACTGCACTACCAAGGCTCCTTTTGTTAATGGTATAAAATAAGAAAAAGATGCTGTAAGTCAATGTGTTTGAGAAATGCTAGATTTAAGAGATAGGTTGCTTTTGCTTTTTCAGCACTTTTCAAAGATTTTAATATGTTCACCAGTGGTCTATAAAAGGAAGATAAGTAATAGAGTTGATTGAATTTTTTTCACAGGTATATTTTAGGGTTAGTGTTTTGATGTTTATTTTATCTGTTTTGTCTTTGTTGCTTGTGCTTTTGGGTATATAAGAATCCATTGCCATAAAATTGATCCTGAAGCATTACCCTATTTTGTCTTTTAAAATTTTTGTGGAGGGTTTTAAACAGTTCTGTTATTGCCTAATTACTATCATAAGTAAACAAGGGGCGCTGTATGTTATATATTTATATATATAACACATAAATCTGTTGCCCTTGATATTTTAAACAGATTGAGAAGCAGACAACTGTGACCCACTCAAAGATGGCAGCTGACCTCACTGCTTTAAATGTGTTTTGCTATTCAGAGTCCTGCCAATAACCCATTCTCCTGCATCAGGCTCCTAAAACTTTCAGGAAGAACTGTGGTAGGACTTTTGGAGAGCAACATTATTCTAGAGAACACCATACATTCAAAGCAATGCAACTGGTTGCCATCTTTGATCGGGCACAGCTGTTTATTTCCCACTTGGATCTAAATACTACCGGTAACAGATTTGGTTGCTATGCAAGACATATGGGCCCTTGTTTACAACGGCAGATATTGAATCATTTTGGAACAGTTCAGAACTCTGGTTTTATGAATTTAGTTCTTATACATAGACATATGATCTATTTTGTGTAACTTTTCCTGTGTGGTGTGAGGTTACAGTCTAGCTTAATTTTTTAAATTATTTTTTTGGCATGTGGATATTCAATTGTCACAGCCTCATATATTGAAGAGACCTTATATATTGGAATAAAAGGTGTCAAAGTTGACTCCATGACAGTGTTTTTTGTTTTCTTTTTTTAAGTAGTTAAATAATATGTGTTTTCTTATTTATTTTTCAAGCGTATGTTTAGAAAGTACAGTGATCAGCTGTGGATTTTTTTGTGTGATCATGTATTCATTATTAATTTAAAATAGAAGCAATCATTGTTGTCTTGTGGAATTGCTTTCTTTTTAGCAACTTTAGTAAATTCATAGACTACAGTAACAAAATGTTTTTTATTTTTGAAAGTAGAACCTTTTTCCATGCTTCCCTTTAATATATTTTTGTATACACATACCTCTCACTTTTAATTGGACTTTTTCTCTTTATAGTCATGGGACAGGATCATCTGGCTGAATCTTAATATAGTGTGAAATATATTTTGGGAATGGAATAAGCTCAAAGGTTTTGTCTTATATAAAATAATAAGAGTAGCAGTCATTTCCTCTTTAATCCTCTTCACATATGCTCATTATGCCGTGTGAAACTGAATTTTTTATTTTCTTAAATCAGGTTAAACTGGATACTTTCTCTGAATTATTATCTGTCAGTTAGTGTTTATACTCAGTCATCCAAAAAGTATAAAAGAAACTAAAGATTTCTAATAATTTTTAAAGGCGGGATCTGCAGCACCACTGTTCATTGACCAGCCAGAAGAACCAGAGTCAAATGCAACAGATGGCATAGAATTATTTGAAGACAGTCAGCTAACCAGTCGTTCTAAAGCAATAGCATCAAAAACCAAAGAGATTGAACAGGTGAGAATCCAGTCTTCTTAAAGAACATTATCTTTTGTTCACATTATTTGACGCATGGTTATTATAGTAACATTTATTGACTAAATGTTTTATTTCATATTATTCCACTTATGACTGAAATTTTAATTTAAAAATTATTTTTTTTAAATACTTGGTTTGTTTCTAGAATATACTAATCAGTGTGGTCCCTCATCCTTCTTTATTTATTTTTTCCTTTAATAAGCAATTGTGTTTGTTAGGGAATACTAATTTCCTGGTTAGTATGAAACAATTAAAAAGCTATCAAGCTTAATAGAATGGTCAACAATTTCTCTATAGCAAAGATGAAAAGGTAATGGGGCAGCAAAACAAGATTATTAGAAATGGAACAACCAGAACAGAAATAATGAGCTTGTTCACACAACATGAAAAATGTGTAACCAGTGCCACCGAACAATTTGGATAGAAATTGTTAAACGGGAACTTAATTTGCTATGCAAAGTGTCACCAAAAGCATAATAAAATATTATTTAAAAAACAAACAAAAACAAAACAAAGAGCTGGGTGGAAGAAATATTAAGTATACCAAAGTATTAGCAAAAAGTATATTTGAATATTGGGATTAGAGATGTTTATTTTAAAAATCATTTTATACCTTTGAGCACTTTACAAAACAGATTCAAGTAAAATAATGGATAATTATTCAAATTTATGTTGTTTAATTTCCAGAGATTTAAGACTTGATTGTCTTAATATGTTATTTTAGCTATTTGTGATCAGTAATTTAATCAGACAAATACTGTACTAGATTTTAGTTCTGGGAGCTCTGATAGCATAGTGGTTACAAATCAGGCTGCTAACTTCAGGGTCGGCAGTTCGAAACTACCAGCTGTTCCACGGGAGAAATATGAGGCTTTCTGCTCCTGTAAAGATTTACAGCCTTGGAACCCCCTATCCAGGGTCGCTATTACCCTCCACGGCACATAACCACCAATATTTGTTAACGTTAGTTTTGCGGGCCAGTGTATCTTAGTGAATATTGTATGTGCACTTGAAAATAATTTGTATGCTGTGGTTGTTAGATGGTTGTTATTAAGTGTTTCCAACTCTTAGAGGTCCTGTATAATGTTTCCAAGGAACGAATGGTGAGCATGAACTACTGACCTTGTGGTTCAAACTGATGTTGTATTCTAGTGTATTAATCCACAGTGCCACACCAGGACATGTTACATGTCACGTTCTATAAATTTCAGTTAGGTCAGTGTTGTAGGGTTGTTTAAATCTTCAAAACCGTTATTGATTTCCTTCTACTGATTACTGAGAGAAGAATGTTGTAATCGCCCAAGTGTAGTTGTAAAATGTAATTATTTTTATGTTTCTCCTTTTAGTTTTATAGGTTTTGCTCCATATATGTAAAGGGGCATCAGAAAGTTTGTGGAAAAATGGATTGAAAAAGAATGGAATTTTTTTGATGACCTTTTTGAAGCCCTCTTGTATATATTTTAAATTTTTATTATGTTTTTAAAACATTGTATAGGAAATTAGGTTCTCCTTGAACAATTTCTATACATATTACTCAGTGACATTGGTGACACTGTTCACAATCTGTCAGCATTCTCATAACTTCCATTCTGGTTGTTTTGTTTCCAGTCATCTAGCTTTCTTGTAACCCCTTACCTTCTCATAGTTATTGTTTTAGTGCCATTGAGTTGGTTCTGACTCATAGCCAACCTTTATAGGGTTTCCAAGTTGTTGCTGGTGGGTTTGAACCACTGACCTTGCAGTTTAAATTGACCTTGTTGTCCAGTGGCAGCATAAATGTTGACTATTAAGTCTCATTTAGATGATTGTTAAGAGGAGTACTGTACTCACAGATATTATTTATTTTATGAGCCAACCTGCCCTTTGGGTTATAGATGACCTCTGGAAGATCCTGGTCTCCCAGGATGATAGTTTCAGGGGCTCCTCACTAATATCTACCAGTCTACTAAATCTTGACTTTTTTAGAAATTTGAGTTTTTTTGTGCATTTTTCCTCCTTGTCCATTTCTGGACCTGTCTACCTACTGTGGCTTTGGTTGGAATGATCAGTAGTGGGAGCCAAACACAATCTAGTTTTTCTGGTCCCAAAGTAGGTTAGGCCATGGTTTGTGTAGACTATTAGCCCTGTGGACTCTTTGAGTCTTTGGCTTCCTTCTTTTTATCCTCCAGTCATGTAGACACCAGTGTTGTGTCTTCGGTGGCACTTGCTTTGTTTTTAGGTGCATAAGTATGCTTTCTTGTAGTGAAGTGTTCTTATCATTATGAAGTGTTCTTTATTCCTGGCAGTAACCCTTGTTCTGAAGCTTACGTTGAAACTAATAAATTTATTCCGTCTTTCTTAAGATTAGTGGTTACGAATGTATGCCTTTTTCCATTCATTTACTGTTAGTGTTTGTGTCTGTGTATTTAAAGTCTGTGTGTTAAAAGCAGCATATATTGGGTCTTTATTTTGCATTCAGCTTGATACTTTAAAATTTTTGATTAATCCATTTTCATTTAATGTCTGTTTAGTAGTATTTTGCATGCTATTGTAGTATTTGTGTTCCGTTTATTCCAGTTTTGCTCTTTGTTTCTTTCTCTGACCCTTTTTGTGATACATACTTGAAAGAGTCTTACTTTATGCATCATAGATATTTATCTAGATTGAGCTTTGGTTCTGTTCCTAAGTAGAGACCAAAAGTTAATGGTCAGCAACAGGCTAGCATCCTAAATTAACTGGTTGATTTACAACTGAATTTTATGGAGCTTAGGGGAGAGGACCACCATTCATCTGTCAATTTGTCTTACTGTGATGGCTTACATGTTGCTGTGATTCTGGAATCTATGCCACTGGTATTTTAAATATTAGTAGGGTCACCATGGTAGACAGGATTCAGTTGAGCTTCCAGAGGAAGACTAAGAAGGAGAGGACATGGACTATTTCCGAATAATTAGTCACTGAAAACCTTACCATTCATTAGCAGTGGAACACTGTCAGCACCAGATTATTGACTACTGAAACATTATGAAGAACACCAGAATATTATCAGCTATAGTGCCAAATGATGAGCCTCTCAGGTTGCAAGGCACTCAAAATACAACTGGGAAAGAACTGCTGGCCTCAAAGTAGAGTTGCCCATGATTACACGAATGGAGAAAGCCTTCAGGACCTTCATTTGCTGAGGAGGCACAACTCAAAATAAAGAGAAACAGCTTTAAATGTCCATTAATAATTGGAACATGAAGTGGAAGAGAAGTATGAATCTAGGAAAATTGGAAATTGTGAAAAATGAAATGGAACACATAAACACCGATAATCCTAGGCATTAGTGAGCTAAAATTGACTGGCATTGGCAGTTTTGAATCTGACAGTCATATGGCTTAGTATGCCAAGAATGACAGATTGAAGAGGAATGGCCTTGTATTTATCATCTTAAAGAACATATCAAGATTTGTCTCTGAACTACAATGTTGTCAGAGATAGGGTAATATCCATACGCCTACTAAGGAGCTCTGGTAGCGTAGTGGTTACGAATCGGGCTGCGAACCTTAAGGTCAGCGGTTCGAAACTACCAGCCGCTCCGCGGGAGAAAGATGAGGCTTTCTACTCCCGTAAAGATTTACACCCTCGGAAACCCTGTACAGGGTCGCTATGGGTCGGACCCGACTTGATGGCACTTAACAACAACAACAACAAGGAGGACTAGGCAATACCATTATTATCCAAATTTATGCACTAATCACTAAAGATCGTGGTGATGAAATTGAAGAATGCTTTGCTACCTGCTTCTTCCGTCTGAAATTGGTGAAACATGCAATCAAGACCTATTGATAATTACTGATGATTGGAATGTAAAGGTTGGAGAGAAAGAGGAAAGATCAGTCATTGGAAACTATGGCCTTGGTGATAGAAATGATGCTGGAGATTGCATGATAGAGTTTTTCAAGACCAATGACTTCTTCATTGCAAATACCTTTTTTAAACAACATAACAGAAGACTGTACAAATGGACTTCAACAGGCAGAATACGTAGAAATCAAATTGACTATATTTATTAAAAGAGAAAGTAGAAAAGCTTCATATCATCAGCCAAAACAAGGCCGGGAGCAGGCTGTGGAACAGATCATCAATTGCTTATGTACAAGTTCAGGCTAAAGCTGGAGAAAATTAAAGCAAGTCCTCAAGAGCCAAACTATGATTCAATAGCGATCATCTCAATGATTTCATGCATTAGACACTATAAAGACCGAAGGCCAGAAGAGTTGTGCAGGTGGATTATTTTCCTTTGGGGTTACCGTGTCATTTATTTCAAAGGGTAGCATATGATCAAGAGCCAGTGACACTAAAGGAAGAAGTCCAAGCTGCATTGAAGGCATTGGCAAAGAGCAAGGCACTAGGAATTGATGGAATACACATTGAAATTTTTCAACAAACTAATGCAGCACTGGAAGTACTTACTCATCTATGCCAAGAAGTTTGGAAGACAACTACCTGGCTAACTGGCAAGAAGAGATCCATATTTGTGCCCATTCCAAAGAGAGGTGACCCAATGGAATGTGGAAATCATCTGGCAGTATAATTTATATTACATGCAAATAAAATCTTGGCTAAAGATAATACAAAAATGGTTGCAATCATAACACTGACAGAGAACTTCCAGAGGTCCATGCCGGATTCAGAAGAGGACATGGAACAAGGAATATCATTGCTGATGTCAGATGGATCTTGGCTAAAAGTAGAGAATACCAGAAAAATGTTTTTCTGTGCTTTATTGACTACACCAAGGCTTTCAATTGTGTGGATCATGTCAAGCTATGGGCAATATTGTGGAGAATGAGTGTTCTGGAACACTTAATTGTGACCATGAGGAACCTGTACATAGACCAAGAGACAGTTGTTTTAACAGAACAAGGGTACATTGAATGGTTTAAAATTGAGAATTATGTGCCAATGTTTTATTCTTTCACCATATTTATTCAGTGTATATGCTGAGCAGTAAT